CTTTAGAGAAGCATGCTGCCAAAATGATTGCTTGAAGGAAGGGACATATATAGTACCAGTCCCAGACAGGTCGTGTTTTGGTATCACTTGCACATGGATCGTGGATCGGTCCAGTGGATCGCTGGATCGGACTTGCCACGCCCAACGCCCGCGGCTCCCTCCAGCGGAGGGACCAACCTGCCTGAAGTCATCGAAGTGGACCAAGCAGCTGTTGGTAGAGCCAGCGAAGTGTCTGTCAGGGTTTATGCGAAGTCGTGGGCCGAAGCCACGTAACCACCATGATTCTCTTTAGGGGGTGTACTCTCCTGCAGAGACCCACATACATGGACCCCCCCCAAAACCAGTCGGCTAAATCCACTGGGTTGGTCTTCGGAAAATGGTCACAGGGTACAATAAGTCGGCGAAATCCGCCATCGGCCCCGTTCTTCTTCGTTTCTTGGTCTTGCTGAGGGCCGCCATCATTTGGCCGCAGATGCTGGCCACTTGGACGGGTTCATCCAGCGCGGACCACAACGGCGCCACTGGTGGGTGTGGAACCTGGGGATCACCGCCAGTCGGTGACCACATATGGGGAGTCGAAAGACCAGTCCGGATGACCACCGGTCGGTCTGGTGCGGCCCCGTCTCCAAGGGCGTTCAGGTTCGAAGCGTCCAAGGGGGCGCCAGTCCACCAGCTCCAGCTTCACCCATTCATGTAGACTCTTGATTCATAAACCCTCCATTTGGAAGAGGATTTCCAATTCAAACCGAGGGGCGGTTTCTTAATCAAGAGTCTACATTCATCATCAACACCTCAGAAGTGGAAGTGGAGTGTGGACTTCTCCATCGTCAAGTCTTCCGAACTCGAGGCCTTTTGCCATCCACTTCGATGTGAGTCAGTCTGCGTGTAGAGATCCAAGAGAGGTATCCAGTGACCGCTCCATAGGGCTCTGACGGGTTCTGACCCACCTCTGTTGGGATATTCGATCGGAGCCTTGTAGGATTCTTGGAATGGACAGTTCGTCTCCACCTTCCACGGGTCCCTGCCAAAACGGCCCACCTTCCACGGGTCGCCTGGCTTTGGGGGGACATGCTTTTGCACGATCGCCACGGACCATGCGAACTGAGTACAATCCCTGGATGGTCCTGCCTTTGATCATCTTCATGTCCGTGACCTGCTTCGGGCTGATGAATGCCTGGACGCCCAGCCAACCTCACCATGCAGACATCACCATGCATGGGACGTCTGACCGATTGCGCTGGGATTCCCGCTTCGAAACGTCAGATGGCCCCGGAAGTACTTCCAAGAAATAGACCGTTTCATGTGCCAAAAAGCAGGGTCCTATTATGTCATGGTTGATGGTTGATGGAGAGCGTCCCTCGTGACGAGCTTGTCTGTCGAAGGGCCAAGGAGCCAGTTGAAAGCCAAGAGCCAG